AGGGTAGAATCGCATCCCAGTTCGTGTGGTTGGGGTGAATGTACATGGCGATCATGTCCGATAGGGTCCGATGAAACCGTTCAGTCAATCCGTTGGTCTGCGGGTGGTAGCTAGAAGTGGTCTTGTGAACAGTGTTCGAGGCACGCAAAACTTGCTCGACAATGGAAGATAGGAAGACTTTGCCACGATCACTGAGGAGAATGCGTGGAGCTCCATGACGCAAAAATATGTGGCGAAGAAAGAAATCGGCGATCTCAGTGGCAGTCCCAGATGGTATAGAAGCTGTTTCTGCGTAGCGGGCAAGGTGGTCGACTGCCGTGACAATCCAGCGATTCCCATTGGATGATATAGGAAAAGGGCCATACAAGTCGATTCCAACGACTTCAAAAGGTGAGGCGGGACAAGGAAGAAGTTGCATTAAGCCAGCCGGAGCAGTTGTCGGTCGTTTTCGCCGATGGCAATGAACACAGGAGGCAACGTACTTAGCGACCGCTGAAGAGAGGCCAGGCCAAAAACAACGACTTCGTATTTTGTCGTAAGTCTTGTAGTAGCCTAGATGAGCAGCGGTTGGATCATCATGAAAGTCTTCCAGAACTTCACGTTGCAGAGAACGTGGGATGACGGGTACCCACTTGTTGCCATCGATGTGGTACATGTAGCGACATAGAGCATCACCGACAAGCTTAAATTGTTTAAGTTGTCGACAGAGTCTGGCGTTTGGAGGAGTAGTAGAGCCAGTCAAGCGGTCAATAATGGTGCGGCAGTATGGGTTGACACGTTGTTGTGAAACAAGGACGGATAGGGTGGCAGATGATGAAGTTAGCGCTGCGATTGGAGAGGTGCTGTTGTTTTGGAGTATCGATGGTGAATTGCTTCCGCTGGGCAAAGGACAGGGCGATAGAGCATCAACATCTTGATGCTTCTTCCCAGATCTGTAGGCGACATCGAAATCATACTCCTGCAAGCGAAGCGCCCAGCGACCAAGGCGACCCGATAAGTTTTTCAGCGATGAAAGCCAGCATAGGGCGTTGTGGTCGGTCACGACGGTAAAATGACGGCCGTGGAGATATGGTCGGAATCTTCGCACTGCCCAAACAACAGCAAGGCACTCCTGCTCGGTGATAGTGTAGTTCTTTTCTGGAGCGGTGAGAGTACGACTTGCGTAAGCAACGACGCGTTCGCGTGAGTTTTTGTCACGCTGCAAGAGTACCGCACCAAGACCATGACTACTTGCGTCAGTGTGAAGGATGGTGGGTGCGGTGGAATCGAAGTGGCACAGTACCGGATCCGATGTGAGGGCTTGCTTCAATGCCGTGAAAGCGCTTTTGCAGTCTTCGGACCAAATGAAGGGGATTTTTTGCGAGGAGTTGATAGAGCGGAGACGCAAGTTCCGCGAAATCACGTATGAAGCGCCAGAAGTAAGAAGATAACCCAAGAAAGCTGCGCAGGTCCTTTTGACGTAGTGGACGAGGAAAATCGAGGACAACGGCAAGCTTCTCGGGGTCGGGCCGAATTCCTTCTTTGCTGACAAGGTGGCCAAGAACCTTGATTGTCTTGCTAGTAAAGGTACATTTCTTGGTGTTAAGCTGTAGACCGGCTTTTGCAAGGCATGTGAGGACTTTGTCAAGACGTTATAGATGCTGCGAGAACGTGGATGAAAACACTACTATGTCATCGAGATAGCACAGGCATGTTTTCCATTTCAAACCACGCAATACGCCGTCTATCATGCGTTCGAAGGTGGCGGGCGCATTACAGAGTCCAAAAGGCATCACATTGAACTCGTACAACCCATCTGGCTTTGAAAAGGCGGTCTTCTCTTTATCAGGCTCCGACATTGGTATCTGCCAGTAGCCTGACCTAAGGTCGAGGCTGGAAAAATACTCTGTGCCCTGTAATGAATCCAGTGCATCGTCGATCCGAGGGAGGGGATAAACATCCTTGCGCGTTATTTTGTTTAGCGCACGGTAATTGATGCAGAAACGCACTGTCCGATCTTTTTTTTGAACGAGAACAACTGGGGATGACCAGGGACTCAAGGAAGGACGTATGATGTTGCGTCGTAGCATGTCTGAGGCGTTTTCCTCGATGATCTTGCGTTCTGCTTGATACACGCGATATGGACGCCGATGTACAATACGAGAGCCGTCAGTCTGGATGCTGTGAGTAGCGGTGGTAGTCATGCTGAGAGCGGGCGAGTTCACGTCAAATAGAGAACGGTGTCTATTTAACAGGGCGAGCAAATGTTCAGTTTGATCAGGTGTTAAGTCATTGCTTATTGTTGCGGACACAGGTGTGGCAGAGGCATTCAATGGCAATGATTGCGACTTCGGAACATCGTTGTGGTTGTTGTTCGGAAGAGTAACAATCGCAACATGCTCACTGTCGACCGCGCAAGATACTGTTGAGCCACAGGGGAGCAGTACACACTAGGGCGTTTGATTTATGGCGGTTAGGTACGTACACCCATCGAAGAAGCGAATAAGCCCCGGTGTGATCACAATGCCCCTACGTAGGGTATGACCGTAAGGGAGAATTAGTACGTCGCCATCCACAATGTCGGTGCAATTAACACTTGCAATTTCTTCGATGTATGGCCGAAGTACATAATCTGACTTGGTGACAAGGCGGATGCGTTCATCTTGTTCAAGCGGAGAAGAGTCAGTGGCATTTAGATGCAGGAGGCGGTGATGACATGATATGAAAGCGGACGCAGAAGACAAGAAATCCCACCCAAGAATGAGAGCCTGGGTGCACTCACGAAATACCGCGAAAACAATGTGATGACGAATGCTTTCTATTCAGACACGAACGGTACACTGTGCAAGTGGACGAATGAGAGCGTTGGTCGCCGCACAGAGAGGTGGGCCGCCTTAAGGTGTGGTGACTTTTCGAAGGCGGGAACAAAAATCAGCACGAATAACCGAAACGGCAGCGCCAGTGTCTACAAGAGCCTCAACACGTACACCTTCTACAAACACTACTATCAAATTAGATGGCCGCTCTGGAGGAATTGTTAGCTGTCCAAGGGATGCAGTTTCCCCTCCTAAAACTGCATTGGGGAGTTTTCCGCGTGGGCGTTCGTGGAATGGGAGACGGGCCGTAGAGGCGACACTGAACGGCGACCTGGCGAAGGCGACCTGCGGCGAGACGTACGGGAATTCCCAGGCATGTCCGTATGGTAAGTAGGTGACGGTGAACGGTAATAGGACGATCAGGAGGGTGGCCGTAAGTAGTTCATGGTCGGACGGAAGCTTCGATGTTCTTCGGGAGCGTAGCCGCGTTGCTCGTCTTGTTGGCGCTTTCGACAAAACCGAGCGATATGTCCTCGATAGCCGCAGTAGTAACAGATTGGTCGAGGTGGGCGCTGAGGTGCGTAGTAAAGTGGTGCACGCACTGGCGGTGATAACGAAGCCACAGACGTATGGTCTGCTGTTGTAGGCACAGAAACGGTGGGTGCGGCAGAGAGCGCGGCAACTTCGGCGTACGTGCGCGTCTGGCGCACGCAGGGACTGTTGGAACACGCCGCACGCGATGCGGAGGCGATCTCTTGTTTAATCAGGTCTCGCAAGTTATCTTTTTCAGGAGGTAAAGTAACTTCCGCAGCACAGGAAGAGCAGTGCCCGTGCAGCTCTTCACGAACGATGTCGCGAATAAGCGCACGCAAGTCGAGGGGTGCAGGCAAACGAACGTCGGTGGCATCGTAGCAAAGGCGAAGAGACTGCAGCTCGTCAAGTCGCTGACGGATGGTTATCACGTCCTGGGTGGTGGCAGGATTTTGCGTGGCGAGGGCGTTAAAGGCGACGGTGTTAACGCGCTTGCACAGTGCAAGGACATCCTCAACATAAGAGGTGTAAGATTCACCCGGCAGCTGCGTGCGTTGAGTGAGTTTCTTCTTTGCTGCCTCAGTGCGAACTGCAGGGGCACCAAATACCTGACGAATTTGCTGCTCGAAAGTGTCCCAGTCAGGAAGATCCGGGTGGTAGTTCCAGAACCAAGTTTTTGCAACATCGGACAAGTAAAATGGGACGCTGCGCAACTTTTTTGGATTGTCCCACCTGTTCAAATCGCTGACGAGGTCGTAGTTCTTGATCCAGTCTTCGACATCATCGCCTCGGAGACCGGAAACACAGGTGGATCACGCAGGCGAGTGTTGTTGGGCGGAGCGGGTGGCGGTGGCTGCAGTAAGACGGCGACGTTGGATGGGCCAGGGTTTTCTTGGGCCGCCATGGCAGGGGGTTGTATGCGACGACCCGAGCGGAGCTCCAGCGAGAACGGGCGGGAGGACTTGAGGGAACGAAAAGCACAGTCCACCACTTGTGAGGAACCGGTTTATTCGGCCAGGCTCGAGCTAAAAAATCACGCTTGTGATGATATTTTTAGATGAAGAAGATGTACAGGTGATGATGATTACAAAGAGAATAAAGAGTCATTCGCTTGTCGCGCTCACAATACATCTAGTCTCTACTTTTTTAACAACCTAGGGAAGCGTTAGTTCATAGTTTACACTTGAAATTATTTGGTTTGATGCGAGTAAAGATGATTTATTGTGGTCAGAATTGGAAAGTTGTTGGCATAAAACTGCATTGGATGACCAAGGTACATTATCTCAATAGGAATTTTGCTGGGACCAAGTGTAATCTTCATAAAGAGCTAGTTGACGCGAAACAGGGGGAACTTTTAATAATCTAAGTTCTACTGCGCAGTAATGTGGCCCATAGCCAAACATAAAAATGCCGCCATTAGACTTTTTCTTCGTGTTACCTTTTCTCACACAGCAGCGTCCTCTGCTTTTTTGAGATTGGGGGAGAGGAAGAAATGAGCCTTGAAAAAGACAAGCCCGCTTGTCAAACCGTTAGCTCGAGCACACAATCTCCATTCATGCATTTTCCCATCGCAACATTTTTCATTCCCTTCTTACAGGTTGTATAATTTGGCACATATTATCAGGGTTCTGAAAAGAACACATTTTGAAATCTTCATCGGATTTACTCATGCAGGTGCATAAGTTGGCCATTACTGTGGACCTGCTGCTGGGTGACATACCGGACCGATCCATCTTTCGCCAAGCACCCCTGCGCCGCACACTTGCCCCTTACTTCCAGCTCACCCAAGGTGACCTTAAGTCGTGTACTTACTGTTTGCACCCTATCATAGTGGGCACATGCTTCTGATACAAAATCTATAATAGCTAACTACTCAGAGACACGGACGAAGAAGGGACACAGCACTTGTATTCATGTGATCCCTTTTTCGTCCGTGTGCCCTGCGAACTGCTATGGATCTCCACCAACTAGCCCGGTCAAAAACCTTGTTTCAATACCAAAAGCTTGTTTCACTGTGCTAGTTGGACGAAACCTTGGACGAGGGAGGCAGCGAGCGGGCCTCTCAACATGGGTGTGTTGAGGAAACACAACTACCCACATGTGGAACCCACGACTAGCTTCTGTAGCTTGATTGGTCAGAACAATAAATGTACAATTTAAGGGCACGAGGAAAGTTTATTTCGGCCTCTCTTGAATTTCGGCTTTCTGAATCATTCAGCTATTGAAATTTTTTGTTACTTTGTACGAGCATCGTACCTAATACTTGCGCTGTAGCAACCTGCCCTATGTGTGCAGCTGTACGTGCGGGCAACCTGAGCCGCTTTAGCGAGGTGCTGGAGCACTTTGGGGCCAAGTTCCAGGCCGACCACACGTTCACGCTCATCATCCGGCTGCGCCACAATGTCATCAAGACGGGGGTGCGCATGATCAACCTGTCGTATCTGCGCATTTCACTGGCCGACGTTGCCCAGAAGCTGCAGCTGGATTCTTCCGAGGACGCTGAGTTCATTGTGGCCAAGGTGAGCAAGTATTTTTCCCCACGGGGTGCCGCAGCAGCCGTGTCACGTGCGCAGGCCATTCGTGATGGAGTGATCGAGGCCACCATTGACCACGAGCGGGGCTGCATGCAGTCCAAAGAGAACATGGACATCTATTGCACACGAGAGCCCCAGGCTGCGTTCCACCAGCGCATCTGCTTCTGCCTCGATATACACAACCAGTCAGTCAAGGTATGTAGCAGCGAAAATAATTAAAAAAGTTTTTTTGGTTTATTTGAAATCTGCAGCGTTTTTTGGTCATGTTTGTTTGTCTTCTTCTCTCTAAAAATGACGTTTCAAAGCTTCCCCGGCGGCCTGCCATGTTCCATTCTGCGAGGGATTTCTCGCAGTTCGAGCATCGTAGCCATACGAAGAAGTTACAGTTTGCAAGATGGAGTGCATTCGGCATATTCAGAAAAGATCGGGCCCAGAACTCTGAAAACAGAAGAAAGCAGAGACATCTAGCTTTTTGAGGGGGAATCTGTATCTGGTCAGGGAGGTCTTAGTATTGTCATCACTGGCAAGCATGAAAAGTATTATTGCTGGGCCATTTAAAGAAGTAGAGCCAGCTTGGATGACATAGAAAAGGCTCTCCAGTCCATATATATTTCTATATGGCATCTAAGCATACCAATGAACCCCCCGGCCTTTGCTCGAAAGACACCGAAACTTGGCATACATTCAACAAAGTCCAGTTTAACGATAAAGAGTGCTTACCAGCGCAAACGACAGGACAGGAGGGGAAATTTAGAGATTGCATCTGTAATGTGGTGTATCAGCTGCGGTTATCGTGTGGAAGGTATTACGTCGGTCAAACAGATCGTTGTATAAATAAGAGGCTGAGGGAACATATGAACAATGTGGGTCACTATAAACAAGGGTAGCTGTCCGTTCACTGCAGCACGTGTGGCTGCCGGCTAATATTTCCAGAGTGTACTATTGTTGAAAGATGCAGGGATCGCACCACATGCGAGATTATAGAGGCAGAAAAGATTTGCTCATTGAAAGATGCTTGTGCTAGCACCCCTTCTGTCGCGCTCACCGATAAGGAAAAGTTGTTCCTTTGATTGTCGATGTGATGTACTTATGCATTGTCATTGTGTTTCGCGCATGACTATTGCGACTGGTAACTGTATAAAAGCGAAGACTTTCGCAAGAAATTGTTGGCAGTTCTTCTCCTGTCTCTTCTCCTGTCCCCTCCTGCCCTGTCGTTTGCGCTGGTAAGCACTCTTTATCATGTTATACCAACACGCCCAATCCTACTGTCTCTCCAGTTCAATAGTGAACCATTAGTTCATAAAGACTACCTTCTAGCACGTGTTATTGAAACTGTTAAGCCAAATTATCTGGAACTAGCTCATGTAGAATTGCTTGCCAAATGCCACCATGGGAAAACTCAAAATCATTACTAGTCGTTGGATTGTCATACGAGAGCGTGATATGGAAAAACGTTTTCCTCGGGCACCAAACACTACATATATGCCCCCGTGATGCTGTGTTCACTTTTAATGAGGGCAATATAGCCCGCGTGAATGTGCTGAACTATCTTGGAATTTCGCCAGGGCACCGTACAGTGAAGGGCCTATGCACCCTTGAACTGCACCGACAGTACTGTGGACACACAGCTGAACAGAAGCCGACAAATGAGGCTCGCCAAGCAAGGGGTTTCAACACAAAGAGGAAAAATGATACTGGTGATGAGTATCTGGTTGGTACCTATTGAATGGTGCCATCAAATCAGTGTTAGCTCATTGTACTTTTGAAATAATGGAGATTTTCAACTTTATGTGTGAATTCTAAACATGCTTTGCTTGTACTTATGGTTCTTTTTCTCAGCTACCACAGTACCTAGAATCGTAGATTCTGGCCAGTATCTAGGTATTGTAATAGAGAACATGCTGAAGCAGAAATATTGTTGTTTGAGGAAGTTCTCTTTTGCAACATATCTAATTGCTATTATCAAGTGACAATTACCTACCTAAAATAAAAATTTATGAAAAATGAGTCTTACAGTTTCCAGTGCTAAATCTGCTTTTGTAAGAATAAGAGTGGCTCAAAATCACAATGATAGTAAAATAATTACTGTAGACCTTATCATTATAGAGAAAACGGTACATACGCTTCGTCTAAAATGCATGGCTTACCCTGTTTCCTTAAAGGGACCTTGCAACACTTTTTGAGCATAGTCAGAAAACGCTGCCAATTGGTAGTAGAAGCTCCCGACGCGAGCCAAATATTATAGCGCAGCACACGGCCTGTAATTCACAACAAATTATCAAAGTCAGTTATCAATTGCTCTCTCTTCTCTCGACAAATAACGAAAGACGCCAAAAATCACTCGTAGAAAGCCCATCTATCAGCCATTAGCTGATTTGAACATGGCGCACTCGGTCATTACAGAGATCGCCACGAGAGGCCGCCACTTGCCCACGCGCGCGCTTGCGATCACACTGAAGAAGCTGCGCGTTCAAAGAAGAAAAAGAGAAAATGCCATGTTTCTTTCTCAAGTTTTCTTATCACCCTGTTTCGCTGTACGCAATTCTCAGCGGGAACCGCGCCTAGAGTGTTGGAGAAGCTTCAGGACTGCCGGAGATCGTTTTGATGAGATTACGCCCGCGTCATGAGCATTTTAGATTATTCTGGAATCGACGCCGCCGCTAGCGGTAACGGTAGAATGTTCGATGGTGTGCGTATAAATGCCGAAATGCTTCGCCGCTTGTCAGTTGATCGACGGCCGACGCTAAATTGCCGCTATCCGTGCAAGTGTGTTGCTATAACCGGACTTTCCATTTATCGGGCACAGGTTCGCCCAAATAAACAGTTTGCTCTGACCATCTAGTCTCCTCCATTCAGCCATGTCACGACCCCGTGACATCTGGTAAAGGTGCTTCCTGATCCATGTACCGCACGCCCCCTTCCAGCCGTGAGCTGAACCAAGTTGGCGTCTAAAAGAAGACAGCAACGCTGACTACCACCAGCGAGTCAGCCGTAGGCAACAAGATCTACCACTGGAGTACGAGCCTTTAGCCAACAATACTTGCACGTCCATCGTGATTACCACTGCTGCAACAATGACTGCCGCTGCGCCACTGCCTGCGGCTATCGTGATGCACTCACCCAGAAAGCCACCTAGCTTCCATGAAGCACCTACCGTATTTACTCGTGTAATCCTTGCACTCGCATAATTCTCGCACCCCCCCCCCCCCCCACATTGCCCGACAAAAATACGATTTTTGTTTTCTTCGAGTAATTATCGCACTCCCGGAAATTGCCGCAATAATGTCTTCTGCTCGTTCCAGCTGTTGATGATGATAGCGCACGTCATCTGGGGCCATCTCTTAAAGGGAGGCGTGGGTTCTAATTTTTTTTTTTTTTTGCTCAATCTTAACCAAACTTCACTATCTAAGCTAGTTTTTCATGCTTATTTCAAATCTCTAATTTGTTTCGTAATATTTCAAGTGGTTTAGAAAATATGAAGGTCTGAATCTTAATTAATTGCGTTTTTGTTACGGGACTTCTTCGCAATTTATTCTTGCTAAATCCAAAAAGTGAATGCATAATCCCGATGCTGGTGACTTACTGTAGGGGGTGATGCTATTTTTATCCATTTGAAGGCATTTTATAAGCAAGAAAACAGACGAACACTTATGGTCACTATATAACAATAAATTTCTCTCACTAAAATCTTCAATGGTAATTTTTGAAGTGATGCTAGAGAAACAGAAATAGCATCACCCCCTAGATCATGTCAAGATGAATAAAATGACACTAACTTTGTCGCATTCACTCAAGTTTAATATAGGAAAAACCCCCGTAAGGCTGAGTGCAATGTGCAAAAACATCGAACTGAGAAAAACGTGTTTGAAGTTACTAGCAACTTTAACTTTTGCTAAAGTGAAGCTACAGCCATAATAATGACATCATTCTGTAGCTCTATATTATAGGATAAATGCCCATGCTAAATTTCACACTACTCACCGAGAATACTGCTCACAGGTTGTTCTAGAACTATAAAATAGTCATTGACTCAGCATGAGAATTATTATTTTTTTACTTTGTGGTCGTTCCAGTGCTTTGCAAGGGAAAGGAACACAAAAAAATCGTAATAATGTTGTCCTTGGATAGACAATAGATTTACACAATGTTTAGGTCTAATACCAAGAATATTTAATTTTGCTAAAATTCTCACTCTATGCCATCATGACTGTTTACAGCAGACCAGAGCTGTAAGCAGAATCCCCTGCTGGCTTGTGACGCTTTGAAAGTCTTTCCTTTATTGAACTGCTGTCGAGATGCTCTCTTCGCAATTTTTGCTGCCTGGCCTTGTCCTTCTCAAGGCTGCGACGCACCAAGTTATTGCCAGCGCTGTAGTCCAGCTTCTCAGCAATTTCCACGTTGCTCTTGGTTGTGCCTTGGTTGAAACGGCTGATGGCTTCGGCAACTGCCCTTTCAATGCTCCGCAAGTATGCATGCTGAGTTTTGGGGGACTGCTGCCAAATCATAGCGTGCAGGCTCTCACATGGGTTCTGGGTGATCCCATCGCTGCACCTTTCCAAGAGGGCATTGTCGCTCAGCCGCCTAAACACAGGCTCCAATGCTTCAGTTACGAAATCAGGCAGGCTGTCCTTGTGTGGTGGCGGCTTCTCATTTTTCGCAAGAGCTCTCTGAAATTTGCACCAGGATTCAGGGCCTTCAGGGCAAAGGTCATGCTTTGGTGCCTCGTCAGTTGAAAACATGTGGTTCAAAATTGCTAGAACAGCCTTCTGCATACCTGGAACATCGTTCCTGTGGCTTCTCAATGCGTAGCCATAGTATGAGGTGATCTTCTTTATCTTTTGTTGCGTAAGTCTGCCCTTTCCACCAAGTGAGCCACCTTGAGCTTTCTCGACAAGAGTACGTAAGGCAGCTCCCATACGCTTGTGTACATGATTCATGCAGTCCTTTTTGGCCACCTTTATGAAGCCATGCACCTCTTTTTCTGTGAGTGCATGGAATGTCCTGCTGTCGCCGTCCGACAGCATTGTCGTATAACAAAGCTTGTGCTTTTCGAGTGACCACTCAAACAAGCGTAGTGCTGCCTCCACTTCCATCTGGCCAGCATTACAATCAACATTCTTCTGGCACAGAGGGGCATGCTGAATGAGCAAGGCAGAATGTCCTGCTTCTCCTTCCTTGGGTCCTAAGGTGCAAGC